ATCTATCCTTTCAGTACTGTGGGTTATATTAGATTATTTTTTTAGTTTAAGTGATGTAAATGATGGGAAAGTTGTTGTTTATTTGTGTTGAACGTCATGGAAGGTCACGTCGCAGGGGTCGGAAGGAGCTGCCAACGCTGACATGATGTCTAGTTTCGTCTCATTTTTTGAAATGTCACAAGTCTTAAGAATTTGTGCGTTTTGTTTCCTCCTCACTCATCCTCTGCTTATCCTCCCCACGTCTTTGTTCCTCTATTTTTTTCTCTCTATTTTTATCTTCCCTTGAGTTTTGTTAGCGGTTTTATTTGGAATTACTTACGTCTTGTGGAGGTTGGCGCTCGTCTTGTTTTTCTTGCGGCTCTCGGATAAAGATCACTTTCACTAAACTTTGGATTAATAATTTCCTTGTCTTCGTGGATTTTTCTCCTTCGTCTTGTATTTCTTTTATTATCTCTTTTTTTTGTTTGCTTATTTGCATTCTTAAACAGGACGAGTTTGTGTGTGTGATGAGTTTAGTGACGGTTCGTTGTGTGTTATTGACTGGGCGACCTTTTGACACACACACACCATCCCACACCATCCCCCACACACCCATCCCCACACACACACACCTCACCATCCCCACACACCATCCCCACCTCTCCCCCACCATCCCCCCACACACCATCCCCCCACACCATCCCCACACACCATCCCCCACACACACATCCCCACACACACCATCCCCACACATCCCCCACACACATCCCCACACACACCATCCCCCACACACCATCCCACACCATCCCCACACCATCCCCCCCACACACATCCCCACACACACACACACCATCCCCACACCATCCCCACACCATCCCCCACCATCCCACACACCATCCCCCACACACACCACACCATCCCCACCATCCCCCCACACACACACATCCCCCACACACACCATCCCCACCATCCCCCACACACACCATCCCCACACCATCCCCCCACACACACACACCATCCCCAACCTCCCCCACCCACCATCCCCACCCACATCCCCATCCACACTTTCACACACCACCTTTCTCTCCTGTGGCCAAACACCCCCCCTCCCTCCTCCCCCCACCTCACCACGTCTTCCCTTATCTTCCTCACGCTCTCAAATATTTGGATTTCTCATCGTTCAAAAGCAAAAGTCGACCATAAAGACACGTTTCCGGCCACATAAAGCATTTTCCGGCCATTTGGATCGACTGCTTCAAGATAGGTGATATTCCGGTGTAGTAGAGTGGTTACCGGTTATTTAGGACGGTGTTAGAGTGGTTATCGATTTATTTAGGACGGTGTTAGAGTGGTTACCGGTTATTTAGGACGGTGTTAGAGTGGTTACAGTTATTTAGGACGGTGTTAGAGCAGCTTTCCAGTTAAATAGCACTGTACAAGACATACAATCTTTTAGCCATACTGTACAAGACATAATAACAGCCATACATTATCAGACATTAATTAGTGATCCCTAGTGTTGAGGGGTGACATCAGCCCGTGAGCAACTATGTACAGAAGAGGACTGAAGTGGCGACGTGGCGGAGGGGGGACAGAGTTTAGGCATGGCCCCCCTCCGCCCCCTAACCTGACACAGCCCCCCTCCTCCCTAACCTGACACCACCTCTCTCCCCTATCTGATACCCTCCTCTACCCTAACCTGACACCCCCTCCGCCCTATCCTGACACCCCCTGACACCCTCGCCCCCCTAACTGACACCACCTCCGCCCCTATCCTGACACCCCTGACACCCCCTGACACCCCCGCCCCCCCTAACCTGACACATCCCTCCTCCCGGGTAAATATTTGAGTTTTCTCCGTCTTCTTTGACTTAATGTTTTCATTTGCGACGCGGGAGGGCTGGGGGGGAAGGTGGATGGTGGGAGGAAGGGTGGAGGGTGGGAGGAAGGTGGATGGGTAGGAAGGTGGAGGGATGGGAGGAATGGATGGGTAGGAGGAAGGGTGGAGGATGAAAGAAGTGGAATGGCTGGGAGAGAAGATGGAGGGGGAGGTGGAGGAGGAGGGAGGTGGAGGCTAGTAAGGAGGATGAAGGGGGTGGAGGCTGGGAGGGTGGAGGCAGGAGGAAGGTGGAGGGCTGGGAGGGAGGTGGAGGTAGGAGGGAGGGTGGAGGCAGTAGGGAGGGATAGAAGGGAGGTGGAGGGCTGGGAGGGAGGTGGAAGGGGGGGGGAGGAGGGGAGGCTGGGAGGGAGGTGGAGGCTGGGAGGGGAAGGTGGAGGGCTGGGGAGGGTGGAGGCTGGGAGGAAGGTGGAGGCCTGTCGGTGCTGTAGGTCTAGTAAACTTCATATTGTGATTTACTTAAATTATCCCGCTGGTGACTGAGTGATTCACTGTCCCCGTTCACTGTCATGTTCACTGTTCTTGTTCACTGTTCTTGTTCACTGCCTCTGTTCACTGTCCCCGTTCACTGTCATGTTCACTGCCTCTGTTCACTGCCTCCGTTCACTACCCCTGTTCACTGTTCAACACAACACTGCCGTACCCAAGTCCTTAACGCGGACAGTACATGTGCTGGGTAGACTTATATGACAAAAACCAAATAGTGGTAAAGTCATCGTCCTCAAGGGGGTGATAATTTAAGGCCTAATGTAATACTGTTCGTGTTTCACTCACTCACTTCCAACCTCCTTCCCTTTCTCCGTCCCTTTCACATTTCCTTCATCCTTCCCTCCTACTCTCCCTCCTCCATTCTCATTCCACTCTCCCCCTTCCTCCACTCTCATTCCTCTCCCTTTCCCTCCATTCCAGTGTTCTTCCTTCCCTCTTCCTCTTCCACTTTCCCTTTCCACTCTCCCTCTCTCTCCTCTGCTCCCCTCTCCCTCCCTCCCACTCTCTCTCTCCCTCCCTTCCTCCTCTCTCCCTCCCTCCATTCCTCTCTCCCTCTCATCCCTCTCCTCCCTCCTTCCTCTCCCTCTCTCCCCTCTCTCCCTCTCCCTCCCTCCCTTCCACTCTCTCTCCTCCCTCCTCCCACTCTCCCTCCCTCCCTCTCCCCTCTCTCCTCTCCTCCCCTCCTTCCTCCCTCTCCTTCATATGCATGCAGTTGGTCCAAGTTGTGAGATCACACACAGGCATCGGACACAACCCCCTCACGACAACGTTGACACAAGCGGCAGGGAGAGCCACCCAGGGAGAGTCGTGCTGGAGGGAGGAAGGAGAGGAGAGGAGCTGAGAAGAGAGAGAGAGAGAGACAGGGAGAGAAAGGCTGGGAAGGAGAGAGGCTGAGAGAATTTGCTGGGAGTGAAGGGGTGAGAGGTTGAGAGAGACGCACAGGCTGAGAGAACCAGCTGAGAGGTGAGAGAATCGGCTGGATGTGTAGTGAGAAGAAACTGAAGAACTACACACACACACACACACACACACACCTGAGGGAGGGACGGAAGACCACCTGTAGATCAGCAAAGGAGACGTCGGGTGAGGAGTGTGTGAAGGAGGAGTAGGAGGAGGTGGTGTGTGTGTGTGTGTGTGTGTGTGTGTGTGTGTGTGTGTGAGCTGAAACACTAGAGCTATAATAACTCGACCAGCCCCGATATATTACTGCGTCAACTGGCTGTTATCTTGATTATCCTCATAGTGTCCCCTCCCGTCCCCATCCCCGCCCGTCCCCATCCCGCCCGTCCCCATCCCGCCCCGTCCCTGCAACACACACACACACACACTGATTTATGGAGCTACAGTCTTACCTGCTTATATTTATACCACCGCCGTCTACCCACCGCTAAGGCAAGACCTGGGTTGGTTAGGTTAGGGCAGGGGTGGGGTAGGTTAGGAGTAGGGCAGAATTGGGGGTAGGTTAGGGTAGGGTAGGGTGGGGATGGGTGGGAGCAGGGTGGGAGTAGGGTAGATGGGCAGGGTTGGGTAGGTTAGGGCAGGTGGGAGTAGGTTGGGTTAGGGTAGGAGTGGAGTTAGGAGTGGGGTAGGGGTGAGGTTGGGGTAGGTTAGGTTAGGTTAGGGTGGGGTAGGATGGGAGTGGGAGTAGGGTAGGGTGGGAGTGAGGTGGGAGTGGTGGGAGTGGGTAGGGTAAGATGGAGAGGAAGGTTTCTGATGATAGTATTGCTTATATCATTTTAGGGAGAGATATTTTCTAAGTTATTATTTTCAACTGTTTTTTCTTCCCGTTTTGTTTTAATATTGTTTTATTTTTCATTCATTTCTTTATATAATAAGATATTCTTCTGATGTCCATAAGTGTGTGTGTGTGTGTGTGTGTGTGTGTGTGTGTGTGTGTTAAGTCTTAGGAGAATCTTTGCCTGGTTTAACTATACAATAAATCATCTCTGTCTTATATATCAACAACATCTTATAAAAGTTTTATTTATTATAGTTCGATATAATTAAACTAATCATTACCGTCATAGTAAGTACCACAGCGGGTATTGTTCCCTATATTAATCCCAGCAGTTTATTTTTCCCCTAGACTATACTGTGTGGACCTCCCCTGCCACACACTGTATCATAGAGCCTCCAACAGTATATAGAGACGGGAATAAAATAGGGTGTGGGGGAAAATAATATAGCTAGGGAATAAAGTAAGATGTGGTAGGGAGAAATAAAATAGCTAGGGATTTAAGTAAGGTGTGGTGGGGGAAAAATAAACTTTCCAGGGAATAAAATTAAGATCCGTGGAGAAAAAAAAAACTCCTAGGGAAATAAAAAATAAGATCTAGGGGAGAAAAAAAATCCAGCACAGACGAAAATAAAAGGTAAACTGATCACTGGGAAGTACAATAAAACACATCACATCTCATTTCATATTTTATTACAGAAGAGTAACCATTTCCGGTAGTACAGACACACACATGGTAGTTACAGAGAAGCCTGTTTGGTTTATTATAATGATGGGATACGATATACATTAGAAGAACTGTCATCGTAAAGCAACCGTGGACATAGACCTTTGTTTTGGGGTGGGTGGGTTGGGGTGGGTGGGTTGGGGTGGGTGGGTGGGTGGTAAATATTAGCAGACAACAGTACATACTCCTTTGATACTTGTTGGTCGGTTCTGTGAGGAGGGGGGGGGGGAGGGGTAAGAGACTCATTTGCTAGCTGTGTAGAGACTCGTTTAATAGCTGTTCAGAGAATCGTCCCTACACATCAAGAGTCTCGTTGGTTCAGAGTCTTGTTCCAACAGTTGAGAGTCTCGTCAAGAGTCTCGTTCCAGCAGTCCAGAGTCTCGTTCCAGCAATCCAGAGTCTCGTTCCAGTAGTTCAGAGTCTCAGGTGGTGTACAGGGGGCTTGGTGTTCATAAACTATACAAGTAGCAGACAAGTAATGATAAATGTTCACTATTGTTACAGATTTCGACAGCTGTTCAGACACTGTTCACTCATCGCCTTGGTGTTGTTATCTGTTTCAAGAATATCAAACACTTTTTCTCTTGTACCATTCATATTGGCACACACGTGAATTGTTCCATATATATGCTGATACACATGTGAGCTGTTCCATTTCTGTTCTGGTACACATAATTTAAATTGTTCCATCTCTACTAGTACACATGTTAATTGTTCCATCTCTTTTCTGGTACACATAAATTGTTCCATCTCTATTATGGTACACACCTGAACTATCTGTCACCATCATCCTCTCCCTGGCAACATATGAATCACCAACTGTAAATTGTTTAATAAAAGTTTTGGTCTTTATACAGAAACAAACATTAATATTAAGGTCTATGTCCATGGTTAAGGTGATATGAAACTTCAAATACTTAATGTTTTTTGTTTTTTTTTAAGTCATTATCTCACAGTCAAGTCTTTAAAAGTCAACTCACAATAATGCTACAAGTGTCAGATGATCCGTAAATTGGAGCCAGAAGACGGGGATGCTATAAGGCCAGTTTCCTCTATATTTATTCATATATTATATACACTGTAACGACAAGTGGAATGATCAATTTTGATACAAGGAATTATTATTATTATTTTTTTTTTATTATTAATATTATTAGTAGTAATATTTATTAATCTCTGTACGTAAGATGATAAATTCCTTCAACACATACTGTATATACACAAGAGGGGATAATTAAATACACTACTGTCTGTGTGTGAGTGATACATCGTATACCCCTGCTAGGTATCGCCTCAGACTGGCCTTCCCAAGTACCAAGGTTCGAATCCCTGCTGGGGTATAGGGGGGAGGGGGAGATATTTGTTCTACCTAAGCTTTAATAATGAAGCAGGAGTGAGTGAAGGTGATCCCCGGTCTTGTGGTCGCTGGATATATACTGATAATAAGTGAAACTCTCCGCTGCCCTTATATACATGAAGCTCAGGGGGTCCACACACGGTCGTCCTCACCACCAAACAATATGACCAACACTTGCGGGAGAAATAAACTGGTTATCACTCTAGACTTAAAGAGACAACTACACCATGTGACTTGACCCAGGGGTGGAGAGGCCATCAACAGGAACCTAATGAGTGTAATGTTAAACAGCTACCAAATGAACACGACGGGAATTGTTCATAAAGAGAGGAGGTGGAGGAGACGTGACACAAGCTCTTTAAGTCAGTTTTGGTACATCAGTTTTTGGGGTTTTTCTTTAATTAGAATTAGACTAACCAGAGCCATAACAGGTGTAGTGGAGTACTGAGGCTCGGCTACACCTGCTGGCGGCTCTCGTTAATTAGTTACTCAGGTGTTAGTGATGGTAAATTATCTTGTTAATTACTGCACTGAGTGTTGTGTGGGTGACCCAGCCTCCGGACACAGAGCCGTGCTGCCCACAACTCCCCGCTTACTTCTTTATTAGTATTATTTTTTAACATTTAAAAATGTAAATGTATATGAGTGATGTCAGAATGTGCGAAAGATTCTGGTAAAAGTATAAACATTCTGTCTTGCAAACTCTCAGTCTGTATCACCTGAAGGAGAGTGGGGGCTGCTGGTACAGGAAGATGCCGTGGCCAGACGCAACACAACACAACACTGTCTTATTTACTATTGAACTCTTCATCACAAAGTATATATCTGTTTGTGTATCATCAACTCAAACTATAGATAATTCACGACACAAGTAAGAATAATTGTACTGTTTATGATGGTAATTCTGATGTTGTTGTTAATAATAATAAAGCAGTAATAAATAGTAATAGTAACGCTAGTAGTAATAGTAATGATGACCCTTGACCTGTTTCCTGCATCAGTAGGACCCCGGATAAAGTAGTTGAAAAACATCCACATACACCACACATTACACTTCAGTCATTTATCTAGAACAGAGTAACACGCAGAAGTTTATGTACAGTACACACAGGTGAGCGCCGGCCCCTTCGTCAGGCAGGTGCTCCGCCCCGGGTGGTGAGGGCCGCGCTGCACCTCCGGTAACCTTCCCCACACAAGTTGGTTCACCGTAAACATTATCAAAAAATACTAAACATATGACAATGAATATAATACTCCGGTCTAGTGACGGTGTCAGTAGCTCAGGGATTTATCTATTCATTTATTACCACTAAACTTTCTATACATGGAAAATGGCTGATGCCTCGACCGGGGGCCCCGTTGTGAAGTTTACACCATCACACCTTTTACTGTAGGTCATTTGCCATTTATTATGGTTTTTTCTTCATGTTTGTCTGTAATGTTTACGAGTATCTTATCTTGTTTACTAAGTATTGTAAACAAAGAGCTCGGTGGTGGTGGGCCTCAGCCAGGCGGGGCGGGTGGCTGGTCGGTGTGGGTAATGTTTGATTAAGTGTGATGGTAAACCTGGTTGAGTATGTGAGGCGGAGGTAGTTAGAAGAGCTGCGAGATGAGGTTGCTCTTGGTGGGGTCGGGCAGCATGTAGTTGTTGACGGTGTGGTTGAGGAGGGAGAAGGGCGGCGGTGGGTGGCCCTGCTGCATGCCGCCCATGCTGCTGTGGATGCCCACGTTCCCACCGTGGTGGACAGAGTGGGCGGAATGGGCGGTAAGGGTGGTGAGAGGGACGGGTGAAGGGCAAGATGAAGGCCGCTCCAGGGCGGTGAGGGGGGAGCTGCAGCCCCCAGCGCCGCTGCCGCCAACAGGAGCTGACGCCGCCGGGGCTGCCGACGACCACTTGGGTGATGACTCCAGCTTACCCACTGTGGAGGAGACAACACCGTCAGGAGAGAGAACCTGTGGTTATGTGTACTACAGCGGCCATGTGATCCAGGCACTACAGTACTATTAGTTGGGTAAATAAGAAGTACTACACCAGGACCTGGGTATGGCGTCACACTGTGCGGCGCGGCTCGGCTCTCCGTCACGACATCTGGTAAAAGTGACAAGGTAAAAAAGGTAAAGTATAAAAGACTTTTGTTGTTATTGAAAACGTTTGTAGTTTTGTGTAGATGGAACAAAAAGGTTTAATTCCAGTACCTCCCGACCAGCCCTGGACAAACCCTTGACATCAAAACACAAAGTCGGTGGCTGAAAAGAGAAGGAAAAAAGAACTTCCTGTGTGTGTGTTGTGTATGTATATATATATATATATATATATATATATATATATATATATATATACAATGTGTGTGGATACAGAGAGATTTAATACTTGATAATCTTAATACATAAGAACAACACACATCCGCCCCTACAAATATAATACTAATTAGAAGAAACAAATATACGCCTTGACAAACATGCGTACACACACACACACACACACACACACACACACACACACACAGGGAAAACAAACACACGTAAAACGCATATACCGTTATATCCAGCATGAGAGAGAGAGAGAGAGAGAGAGAGAGAGAGAGAGGGCGGCGTGGCAATAAAACGTTGTGGAGACAGGCCAGGCGTGAGCTGTCTGCCACTTTTGTTGATGAATTCACTTTTATTTCATCACGGCGACACATTCACCACCATAAATTCACAATAAAGAAGAACGCTAAAACGGGGATCGTTCCTTTTGACGCCTTGTGCAACTGTGGTATTCCCTATCCTACCCTACCCGACCCTACCCTCACGTTGGCACGTTTACCTGTGTTTTTTTTTTCATGTGTGGGTGTGTGTACGTATGTTTGTCCAGGTGTGTGTATGTATGCAGGCCTATATATTTGTGTATGTATGTACTGTATATGTGTGTGTGTGTGTGTGTGTGTTTGTAATGGTCATGGATGATCTCTGCTATGGACCATTGTTGTGTTGTGACTATATGAGCTATAACCTGTGTTGTGAGTCACCCGTCTTACCCTCACCGTGTGTTGTGAGTCACCCGTCTTACCCTCACCGTGTGTTGTGAGTCACCCGTCTTACCCTCACCGTGTGTTGTGAGTCACCCGTCTTACCCTCACCGTGTGTTGTGAGTCACCCGTCTTACCCTCACCGTGTGTTGTGAGTCACCCGTCTTACCCTCACCGTGTGTTGTGAGTCACCCGTCTTACCCTCACCGTGTGTTGTGAAGTTATAGGTTGTGATCTGGCTTATAAGCTAAGGTGGAATCTTTGCTTATTGTCGGTATATACTCCAGCTAATTCCTCGTGTATACTAAAAGCTAACTAATTCAAGGTAAATACTAAAGCTAACTCTGAATTGCCGTATATTCAGAAGCTAAGACGGAGGAATGAGTTAGGAGGGGGAGAGGGGTGGAAGGAGGAGGAAGAGGAAGACTGAGGGGGAGAGGGGAGATGGAGGAGGAGGAGGAGGAGGGGAGGCTGAAGAGATGATGAAACAGATGACTAGAAATGTGTCTATAAAACTTTCATTTGCTGAGAGAGGAAGGAAGAGAGAGAGGGGGGGGAGGGTATGGAGAGTGTGGCAATGAGAGGGGGAGAGAAGGAGAGAAGAGGGAAGGGGGAAAGATGACGGAGTATGGGAGGTAGGAATAAGGGAAAGGAAGCATGGTGAGAAATATAGAGTGAGAGGTGAGAGATATAGAATACGAAAGTGAGAGCTTGAGAAATATTAAATAAGCGACTCCAGATTTCACTTTTTTTTTTACCTCTGATAAATAAACCTCCTGTTTCAAGATGGCGTCACCACGACACTGAGACTCTTATCTTACCGAGACACCTTCCCAAATCACCAGGTAGAGACCAAAACTAACTTACAGCCTTTGGTTTCAATTCTCAAAGACGTGTAAAAAAAATTTTCCATGACTTAGAACTGAAGGAACATATCTAGTTACAGTATAGTCTTGATGTAAAGTCGACGCCATATTGTTTTTTGGCGAGTCAGTTATGAAGTGTGTGTGTGTGTGTGTGTGTGTGTGTGTGTGTATCTACGTACTGTATGTGTATCAGTGTATGCATAAATATTGTCATTTATCTTTCCTCGTTTCCTTGGTTTTGTACACCTGTTCCGCGATGTTCCTCGACCTTCAGGTGTACAAGAGGCCGTATTTTCACCTGTTCCTCGACGTTCAGGTGTACAAGAGGCCGTAGTTTCACCTGTTCCACTGTGTTCCGGGGCGTTCCTTGGCCCATAAAACAAGTGAGGGCGGGTGACTGATGCTCTGGGCTGGCCGACCACCTGGCGCGGGCAACACCTCCCAAACCCACCGCCCCACCTGACGTACGGTTATAGTGGCTGTGATGACGCGCGTTAAGGGTCATAATAGCGCCGCACATCACCCTGGGCTTATTCCCGCCGTCACAGCCTCTCTCTAGGGACCCCGCCCGCTCCTGTGTCCGAAAGTTCTAAAGTCAACAGTTTGTTCTTGCAGGTTTTATAGGGTTGATCAGTCACGGCGTTTTGCCCGAGGAATCGAACTGTCGCGGATCAAACATTCTCGCTTTGAGTAACTTCAGGCGCGGCGTGACGGAGCTAAGGTACCTGTGTGTGTGGAGTTGACTCATTCCCGCTGCCTTTGCCCTCACACCCACTGCCAGCCTTTACCAACTCTCGCTTGTTATTGTGTGAGTGTGTGTTTAAGGCCGTGGTGTAAAGGTCTCTTTGCTCGACGCGGTGTAGGAGTAGTGTGCCAGGGAGCCGTGTTGGAGTGCCACCGACTCCCTCACGCCCCCACACTTACTCCACCACACACTTTACCACTCATTCTGGCCTCACTCACACTCACACTCCAAAGCTCGAGCTCTCAGTCTTTCTCTCTACGCCCAGGTCTCTGTTATAGCATTAACTTGAGTGAGTGTAGAGAGAGAGATGGGGAAAAACACCACAATAGCTGTTATAGCATTAACTTGAGTGAGTGTAGAGAGAGAGATGGGGAAAAACACCACAATAGCGAGGTAGGGGAGAGAAGGGAGGGGGAGGTTGAGGAATGCCACAAGGCCCAGCCAGTGAGTGTTGGAGCATAGTGTTGTGAGCGGGTGTTGGGGTGAGCCCACTAGCAAGCCTCCTCCGGCCTTCACCAGATCGATGTGCAACCAGGCGGGCCACTACCAAACAAGCAAGAGGGGGGGTTGAGGCAAATACAAACACCAACACCTCCAAAACACGGATGGTGAATGGAAAAAAAAAGGTGAACGAGAAACTGTGTGTAAGTTAGTGTGAGTTTGGAGGAAGGTGAGGCGATGATACAGCTTTAAGGAGACGTCATCACCTGCCTCTTGTTTGATACATTTAGGGATTATTATTGGAGGTGTGGGGGGATGAGGGTGTGGGTGTGTGTGGGTTATGAGGTGTGTGTGTGGGGGTTATGAGGGTGTGTGGGGGGTGAGGGGTGTGGGGGTTATGAGGGGTGTGTGTGTGGTGTGTGGGGGGGGGTATGAAGGTGTGTGTGGGGGTTATGTGTGGGGTTATGAGGGTGTTGGTGGGGAGTGTGTGTGGGGGGGTGAGGGTGTGTGGGGGGTGTGTGGGGGGTTATGAGGGTGTTTGTGTGGGGGGGAGTGTGTCATGAGGGAGTGTTCGAGGCGTGGTGAGGCGTATTGGGGGGGGGTGTCCAACAGGCAGGCCAGATTGAGCCATATAAACTTGTTCCAGTGATCACCTCTCGACACAAGGCTGTGGGCGGCGTCTGGAATAGGCGCCCACTATACCCAAAATATAGGCTATTATAGTGGAGTATAACCTTGACGTACGAGGTTTACCTGTCATTTGGCCCCTTGAAGTGCTACTTGGCCGCAGGTTACAAGTGCTCTGAAAGTCTCATTAATATATAACAGCCGAGCATAATCCAGCCAGTGCTCCCCCCCCCCCGCGCCTTTCCTACCTGGTGTATATCCCAGATGATGATTGTGTGTACCTCTCCCCTCCCTCCCTCCCCGACACACACACACACACACACACACACACTCGCACACTGCCAGATTCAATTTACCGCCATTTCTTTCAGAATCTGAGGAACATCAAGACTTACAGGAGAAAAATCATGCCGGGTCTATGCCACAGTTTGCCGCCTAGATTGCCGCCATTTTGTCTTAATGTCCGACCCAAGAACCAATCACGTGCTCGATTACCGTTCCAACGAGACAATCAGCCGAGTCCGTTTCCTTGAACAATTGACTTCAGGACGGGGATGTAATCTGTTTATCCGGCTCAGATATGCTTGGATAAGGAGAATTAAGGTTAAATAATGGGGCCGGCTGCCAGTCTGAGTGATGGAGATACGATCAGCTCAAAATTAACCCTGAAAATGGCTGAGTCTGCGACCTGTTTCCGTCGACATAAGTCACAGTTGAGGTGGTCGGGACGCAGTAACCTTCTTGGGGGCTGGTTCTGGGGAGTCCGTGATTGTTTCCGCGCTCGCTCCTTATAGCCAATCAGAAAGACTTTATTGGTTTTCGCAGAATCTAATCTGTGTTACGGGCTCTTACTCCAGCAGTAACGAAGAGAGTGACCGTAGGTGATTCTAGACACTGCAACCTGGAGGAGGACATGTGTGGGGAGGTCGACCTTGTCTCTGGATATTTCTGTAGTTTTTTGTGAAGATTTACAGTTTGTTTTTTATTATGGGTGATTCTGGTGTTTTAAAGAGGAGAGTGTGTGTGGGGGGACGCTGAGAGAGAGAGAGAGAGATAAGCAAAAAATAATAAAAAAAACAGCGGCTGTAACTCAGAAATTATACGCTACAGGTTAATTAATGTAGGAAATAGGTAAATATATTTTGTAATGGATGTTTACACGGTGAAGGGGGGATGTGTGTGTTGTTCAGTCAGGTTTACAATTTCTGCTTCCACCGTCATTCTTAACT